ACTGGAACAGTACAGACAGATAAGCCAAAAAGGACAATTTCAGTATCCTTGTCTTTAATTGTAAAACCCCATGATCAACCAGGAAAAGGGGCACGAAAACCCTAACCTATCCCTTCTGTATCATAGAAGATGCAATTAGCCTGATCTTCTCAAATGCTTTCTTTGGCATCGAACGCCGAGCGCAACAGGTGAAACTCGGTGTGAGATGTTCTAAGAACTGACAGTATGTGAGCTAGTCGTCAAAGGGAAGCAATAAAAGGCACGCTTTGTGAGACATAAAAAAGAAAACAAGGAGTTACAACTCACCTCAAATTCCCTTAGCGTTGTTGTACAGCAGGGCTTGGCGCTGTCAGGTTCTGATTTGACCGACTGCCCTTTGGAATCCGTAGTAGGGGCGTTCAAGACACCCAAAAACTGACCAAACTCGGTGCGCCAAGCGTCGTAACCAGCCAGCTTCTCTGCAAGCTTTGCCCTGACGGCCTCTAACTCCTCAATGGTGTAGGTATACTTGACGGTGCAGTCCTTCAGCTTGCAGCTTCCACAAACGGAATCCGCATGGGCAAGACAGACCATCTTGGAGGGCGACGCTACTGCAAACATCAACAAGTTACACGTGTGAAACCAGAATCTATTTTGTAGACGCAAAAAGTATGCGTCTTGATGAGAGCGGGCAAAATAATCATATCAGAAACAGAAAAAAAAAACAGTTGCAAACAGGCTGGAGCGTGGGGCTTGATTAAGGTTCTACATCTGTCTGTAGAGGCTATCTTAGCAGGGAAAGATGCAATCTTATGCGATCATTTGGTCGACTGACATTGTTCGTCGGACTCGATACGAACAACGGCCTGAGAAGACAGGAATCTCTTGTTTGTGACCTGTTTGGTAGTGGAGGAGACTAACCTATCCTTGACCTCTTATCCTCTCCCCACACCTATATTTTCTGGTGTAAATAAGTTGAAAGGATTGAAGATGGGTGCGGGTGCGAGGGCTAGCTAGACATTCTTCTCCTGTGCAAGTTCTCTCTTCCACGTGAACGCCAGGAGTTTCTACAAGGTTGCACTAGGAATTCACTGACTCTTGGTAGCCAGACCTGGGTTATCACACGGATCAAAAACCTTCCAAGTTACGACTTTCAGAAGCCCCTGCTAGCTAGAAATAACATCAGATCTCTCGTAGTGAATGAAAAAAAGTAGCAGGAGACTTATCTTGCAGTGAGAGCTCGACCGGCGTATCCGATGAGGCCCACCGTGTGCACGGTGGCGCAGGGACGAGGACTTGCGGTAGATACAGCGCAAGTCTACTCTCACCATAATCTAATTCGCGCAAGATCTTACTAAAGCTTCGCTCTCTCTCGAGCGCGCGCGTCAGGAGCCGGAGACAAGAGCGAATCAAACCTACTGACTGACGTAGCCTAGAGTGCACGTCTCTTCTGGGTCACATGCACCGGACTCTGACTTACAGGGAACGCAAAAAGTAGCCTTTGCAGTCATATTAGTTAAACTATCTGTTCAGAAGACGAAGAAGCGATCACTGGAACAAGAGTTTTC